AGCTGGTTTGTTTGCGGTCCGCACCGCAGTTTTGGTTTACATGGGGCTCAACACGCAGCCCACGGGGGGGAGCCAAAACAAAAAAGTAGTCAATAGAATGGTCTTCCGTTGATATGCGTTTTAGTAGTTAAATTCCTGGACTCTCATTGCTCATTAAAAGTGCTGTCATACGGGTGGAACTCGGGTAAATATTGCATTTTATTAATACCAGCAGAACTGACTTAAATGGGGCCTGTGTATTGTGCAATCTTGCCTTAATCTTTGTATTCATGCCCGTCAGTGTCAAAGAAGCTCTTTGCATATATTTGCATGTATATGCAACCACACTTAAGTTGCGGCCCTCGGCATGTGCGGTGAGTGTCATTGTGGCCGCCCAGGGCTTCGAAAGTTAAGTAGCCCTGATCTATAATGACGAGGACCCTGCTGAATTCACGGCCATGGAAAACACACCATGGACCATGAAATCTAACCTCCTCCTGGGAAATCTGTTTTGTGCTACCTATATGGACTTCATGGGGGAGCCCAGCATCTCTCAAGCTGGGGGCCCTGGCCCACAAGGAAGTTCTTTTAGGGGTGGCATCTTATTGCTGCCTTTACTTCTGCATTGCCTTCAGGGCTGGAGAAGTCAGCAGCAGCACAGAAATAAGAGCAGCAGTACCGCAATCTGCCCCCCTACAATAACTTTGTGACCCCCCCCAACTCCTTTCTGATGGTGACACTGCAGATTCAAATAGCCCAAACCATGCCAGCTATACATTTTAAAATCCCGGGGCTATGAAATCGCCCAAAATGGACGGTGAATTTGGCAGGACCTATCACAGATGCATCTCTTAAGAATGTGGGTGGAGACTGCAAAGTTAGAAAGCTGGAAGAGTGCTCCGAGCTGCCATTCCCCACCGGCCACTGTGGCTCAGAGCACACAAGGAAGCAGGGCTCTGAATGCAGGCAGATGACTTGCTGTCTCTCCTTGGCCCTCTTGGCCCCACTCCCGTCTCCCACAAGCAATGGGCCGGCCCAGGATCTCACTGTCACTGTAAGGCCAGCTCCGCTCTTCGCGCAGCACAGAGCTGGTTTTATAAATCTGGGGTGTGCTTAGTACTGGGGAAAGGCGTCAGATAGAAACCCCCGAGGTCCTCTCCGTACTGGACCAGCCTGTAGGCATCCTGCCTGCCTGCCAAAACCTGGTTCCAAATCCAAGTGCCCCCTTGGAGAATTTTCCTTTAATGGAAACAGTTGCCTCTCCAGTTCTATCAGAAGCCCTAATGGTGCCATGGGAGGACCATCTGAGCATGTGACAGCTCAGGCTTTGTGGCTCATTCAGGCCTTGGTCTATCTGCCTTCCATGATGGTGGTTTCTGGACTTGTGTCTGGAAGGAACTTGACTGTGTCTCACCAAACTCCTGATGCCAAGAGCCTCCAGCACGTTCTGTTCCCATCCAGCGGGCCTGGATTCTAACCAGCCCCTGGGCTTGAGACATGCACGCCCGGTGCAAAGCAGGTCTCCGAATGGCAGAAAGGCAGCGCCTTGCATTGTGTAGCCACCCAACGCGGCCAGGAATTGTCCCCAGAGGACATGACCGTCCTGTGCTGGGTCTCAGAGTTGGGCTCCAGCATGGACCTGGAGAACTACACTGCCATTGGACAACCCTGAAGCCTGAGTCTGCAGACCTGGCTAACCCCGGCTGTGCGGCATGCCCTCGATCGCAGCGTAGATGAGCAAGACAGATGTCTGGAAGTCTCCGTTTTTGGGATCCTGATCTTGGGCCTGATTTTCAGAGGTGCTGAGTGTGGCAGTGTGTCAGGGACCCCCCTAATCCTGCACCCCATCTACAGCATGATGAGACTCCACCAGCCAGTAGAATAGAGAGGGTTTATTGCTTCTCCAGGATACAGCACAGAATAGACGTGACATGGACATAAGGAGTTGGGGGCTGGCAGCCCTAGACCCCTTGGGGCAAGGGGACATAGGCCCCTCCACTCCCAGCCCTCTGCTTAGTCTCTTCTCTCCATGTTTTCCCAGTCAAATTAGCTCTTCCCCAAAACCACACCCTTCCTTTGTTCAAACTCCTTCCCTCTCCAGTAAGAGCTGGTTGGGCCATGGTCTACACATCAGGGCCCTCAAGGCAAACCCACGCTGGGCAGTGCTTACAGACAGAGGCCAGTAAGGGTCATCCACAGCCCAAGCATAGCACCCAGCTTACCGCAGGGACACCCCTGATCCTACCTGCCCCAGGGCCGCCAGCTTTCTGCTGTTTCATCCCATCCAGGCCTGACTTGAACCCACACCCCTGTCCTCCTCAGGAGAGCACCCTAGGCCACACAGGAGTCTGCCCCACTACCTTATGGCACTCACCTGGGAAGGATAGGGTTGTGGGTTCAAGTCCTGCCTCCCCCAGGTCAGGACCATACTACATTACACAGAGCCCCCTAACTCCAACTGAAGTCTGGGAGCTTTGGGTGCTCAGCACCTCTGAGAATTGGACCCCAGAGGGTTTGGCGATTGAGACCTAACTCTTTCTCCTCTTCCAACACCCTTCCTCACCTGAGCTACTAGCTCCCTTTGCACCATGTGGGCCACACTGGAGAACAGTTTAATGAACTGATGCGAAACCAAAGCAGGAACAAGACTCCTCAACAAAGCAATCCCCGTCCCCCCCAGTCAAATGAGATGCACGGTTTGTGCAGTCCCAGGCGCACCAGGGCGAGATCTAGGGTTAGCGCCCAGCAAACCCTGAGCAGAAAAGCCTCTTTTGTTTATCGCATGACCTGGTTCCTTATTTTTCTTCCCTGAGAATCAGCAGCTCCCAGCGCACATGAGCGCATGGCCCGCAACCCGTGTCAGCCCTGTGCCAGGAGGCAGCAGATGTAAGCAGTTTCCTGGACACAGCTGCTTTCGGCTGGTGTTGGAGGTGCCGAGGTTCCCCCTGAGGTCAGAGGCAGCAGGGGGAGTGCTCAGCCCTTGACAAACCAGGCTAGATTTGTTGCTAGATCATGGGTTGCTAGATCAAAAGCCCACTGAACTCAGTGGGAGTTTTTCTGTTTACTTCAATGGGCTTCGAACCTAAATCGGAGACCTGCAGAGATGCCCCTCCTCTCTCCGGCCCATCAGTACAGCGCTGGCCGGGGGCACTGGGCAGTGACATCTGGCACTGACGCTTTCGGGAGCTGGTCACTGGTGTGCTCCAAGGCACATGCTGTATCCCTAGGGCTGCAGACAATGCAGAGTTGGAGCCAGAGATCCGATTCACCTGGCTCCGAGGTCTAGTTCAGGCCCATTTCGGAGCTGAACGGAGCCCTGGAGGCTGCCCCGGCATTTGTTCCAGAAACATTGGCATGCCTGGTGCAACGTGCCCAGAGCCAGCAGATGCCTCGAGCAGCCGTGTTGCACAGCACGGGCTCTGTGCTACCCTGTGCTCCAGGCAGTTGCTACACTAGAAATCAGAGAAACAGGTTTTGTTATTTAAAAAAAAAAAAAGAAAATTAGCCCAGACGCCCCCTCCCCACCCACATGTTTATTTTCTCTTAAATTCTCTGTGGGAGAGAAACAGGAGGACCAGGCTGATTTTTGGATTGTGCCGAAAACGGGAAAGGGATTTTTTTCGAGCCTGGAAGCTTTTTAGAAACAACAAACGCTGCAAAGCTCTCTGACCCCCTCCTGGGATGTGTGCGTGTGCTAGAATGGCGTGCCCCCTTCCAGCCCCGAATATCCTATCCAGCTACAGGACAGCAACAGCCCCTTCCTTGCACACCCCAGTGTTCCATTTGCTTTCTCCACATGGCGGGATATTACGCTAAGGCCGAGCTACCTGACTTTCTTTCCTGAGCAGTTTAGGAATTCTGTGCAGGGGAGGCGTTCTATCCTAGGCTGAATTTCATTTGCTACCACGTTGCCCGTTCCCTTAACTTGATTAGGTCCCTCTGGAGCTCCACACGGTCTTGCCTAACCTAAATCATTTTGTGTTCTCTGCAAATTGTGCACTCTGCCTGGTTTCCTTCGTTCCCAGATCAGTAATTAATATAATTAAATAACATCAGCTCCAAAATAGCCCCTGCTGGTAACTTGCTTTGGTGACCATCTCTTTGTAATCTTTGTTTTTCCATCTCTTACCCAATTTCTGACCCAAGATAGCCCTTTGCCTCTGATATCTGGGCTACTGAGCTGCCTCAGTAACCTCTTATGAGGAACTTTGTAAAAGGCCGCTTGGAAAGTCTAAATGAATCGTGTCAATTGGTTCTCCTTTGTCTGCTCTTTTATAGAAAACGGTCAGGAATTTGAATAGCTTGGTGAACAGAGTTTTCCTTTTCAGAAGCCGGGGTGCTTCGACTCTGTCATATCAATCATTTCCCAGTTCTTTGTAATTCCATCATCTCAACTAATTTACCAGAATTGAGTCTGCACTTTGCTACATTTCTCCTAACGCCTTTTGGAAATAGCTGCAAAACATTTGCTACTCTCCAATCCTACCGTCTGGCAGCAAGATTTTATTGCACGACTTGTCCCGCGCTAGATCCATTGCACAGCCTATCATGGTCGTTTACATAGTGTGTCATCTTCTGAAAAGGGACTCAGGGCCCGTTTCTGACTTCAGTTACCATGGTGTCAATCCAGAGCTATCCCACTGATGGCAACTGAGACAAGGCCTGATTCTAAGCGCAGCAGTGCAAGTCCTGCAGGCTTCAATGTGGTTACTCTGATTTATCTTCAAGCCACAGAGCATATCTCAGAAGCAAGCAGTGCCTGAAAGTGGATCTGAGTCTAAAGCGAAGAGTCTCTCCTCCATCGTGGAGAAAGGGGGACCCAAAGAACAGTCTGATGCAGGAGGCCAACTGGGGACAAAACAAAGGGGGTGAGGCCGGGGCTACAATATGGGGCAGCTGCTGTGAGCGAGCAGCGCTCTCCCGAGAGCTGAGGAGCGGCCCGTTTAGTTGCACGCGTTCCGCTTTTGGTAGCAACCTGAGAATAGCCCGACACCCCCAGAGAGCAGTTCATTCCAACTCACCTACGGCTCCTTCCCTCTCATTGACAGCACCGGCCCAGAGGAGAGGCTGCGTGTGGGCGGGCAGGCTCTGCAGCGCCTCTGGAGACGCAACGGAACCCTGCCTGACCCAGATCCGGGCGTCTTCTATCCGGCTGTCTGTCTGCTGCCAGTGGGGCGGTGCTGACCGGTTCCCGGGGCCAGAGGCAATTCTCCTTCGGTTACAGAGTCTGGATCCCAGGCTTCGACGGACACGGTTCCAGCTCCCCCCAGGCGCTGCGAGCTTCCGCCTGAAGCAGATTCACGGGTCAGCCTCCGTCCTCCCCTCTCCACGCAGCAACCTTGCCAGATTTGCAAAGGGACGCTGGCCCGGCAGAGCTTTGGCTCTGGTGGTTACTCCAGCGGCTGTCGCCTGCCCTAGTTGGCGAGAGGGGAGTGTGCCTCTAGCTTCCCTCCCCAGTCCCAGGGGCTGGCCTCTCTCTCCCTGTGGCCCAAACGCGGCGGATTGGTTGAGTTCTGGATGTGGGAGAAGTCAAAAAATGTTTCTTATTACTGCCTCTTCCTGCCTGGCTTTTCTCCACCACTCCCAGCTAATAAAGCATTTCCTATTGCTGAGCCTACAGCCACAGCCTAGCTCCCTTCCTCCTGCACACACCGGCCCCTGCTCCATCACGATTGTTCTCCCTCCCTCCCAGGCCCCGGCCAAACAACTCCCGCCCCCCCCCCCCGCCCCCA